CAGTTGTAGTTGTAGTTTATACTTTTTACGGGAAATTAATAAAAGGTAAAATAAAATAAGCACGTAGCATTTATTTCCTTCTAAAAGTTAAAAACTAGTGTCCGACCGAAACAGGATTTTCTTTATTGTATACTTTTTATGGTGTATATATATGGTATATTTTTATCCATATTTAATGAAAAACAATTATTGTAATATTCATGTAGCAATATATTTATTTATTTTAATATAAAAATCAACAATTTAACGTTAAGAAATAGTTTTTTAAGTCAATTTTGTAGAAAAATCAACACTTTCACCCATAAAACGTTGCTTGCTAATTGAGAACATATTTATAATAATAGAGCATTAACTTAATATATCACACTCACATACTTACACACAATATACACATAACTTAACAAAATCCCAGAAAATATACAAAACCTGCTCAAAATTCAAACCCTTTAATAAACTAAGTTTGTATAAAAAGGGTTATTATAATATTAAGAAATTTATGGATGATAATAACCCCCTGGGAATGAGGTGATCACTATTTCTAATTTATTTGTGTTGTTAATTGTGTTATCTATATGATTGTAAGTATCTAACACAATTAACAACACAAAATGTGCCGTAGCTAGGCATGGCCGAAGTGGGCTCTTGCCCACGGTCTGACACTTAAAGAGGCCTCCTGAGACCCCCTAAAATGCGATGCCCCCAATCTTTTTTCCCAGGGTTCAACCTCTCTTCACTTTAGTTGGCAACTCCTCGGAAGGAAACACCCAAACAGCAGACTGTCTCTTAGTTTCAGGATCATAACAATAAATCCAGCTTTCGTCACCCGTAAGTATGTCGAACACAGGATTTGAGTCGCCTCCGTTAAATCTTTGAACCATTTCACGACACCTATCAACACGACGGGCCTCTGTCAAATTATGAGGTATACACCGGGCACAAAGCTTCCTGACCGCTAAATGTTCATGGAGGATTTTGTGCACTTGACTCATACCGATGCCTAAGCTTGTCCAAATCTGCTGATAAGTCACTATTTTGTCAGTCTCTATCATACGCCGCACAACACTGATGTTATCTTCAGTTGTCGCCGTAGAAGGCCGTTCCTCACGCAGATCATCGGTGAGATTAGTGCGAACACGTTTAAACATATCAAACCAGTTGAAAATAGTGGCAAGAGATGGGGCTTCATCGTGAAAGGCCAATCGAAGTCTGTCATAACCTTCTTGTTGACTTAAATGACATCGAAATTCATAAAAAAATCATTGTACGAAAATTTTCTCGCCTTAAATTCATGCTGACGTGACAATGACAATTTTCAATTTGCCGCCAAATTGTAAACAAATGACAAATTGACCCGCACAAGCCGGTTTCCAAAAAGGCTTTAGCACCATAGACCACATACATAACCTTCGGCAAATTGTACAGAAGTCCGAGGAGTACATTTTGCCACTATGTCTGGCGTATGTGGACTATGAGAAAGCCTTTGATTCCGTCGAAATTTGGGCGGTGCTGCAGTCCCTTCAGCGATGACAAGTTTAGTGTCAGTATATCGAAGTGCTGAAGTGCTTGTACAGTAGGGATGCGATGGCTATCGAGTACAGAACCAGAGTACGAAACCTATCCAACTGCAGAGAGGTCCAAGACAGGGTGACGTCATATCCCCGAAATTCTTCACCGCTACATTGGAAGACGTTTTCAAGCTTCTGGACCGGAAAGGATACGGTATTAACATCAATGGCGAGTACATCATTCACCTTCGATTTGTCGACGATATAGTCCTTATGGCAGAACCGCTGGAGGACCTAAGCACTATGCTCAATGACCTCAATAGTGTTTCCCAACGGATAGGTCTTAAGATGAACATGGCCAAAACAAAGATCATGTTTAATGTCCATGTCACACCTATGCCGGTAGTTGTTGGGAGCACTAAGCTCGAAGTTGTTGACGAGTGTGTTTACCTGGGACAAATAGTCCAACTAGGTAAGTCCAACTTCGACCGAGAGGTCAATCGACGGATTCAACTCGGTTGGACAGCGTTCGAGAAATTGCGGCACATCTTCCGTCACCTCATATACCTCAAAACTTGAAAACAAGACTGTACAACCAGTGCGTGTTGTCAGTGATGTCCTATGGTACTGAGACGTGGTCCTTCACTGCTGACCGGATGAGGAAGCACAAGGTCGCTCAGCGAGCTATGGAGAGGGCTATGCTCGGAGTTTCTCTGCATGATAAACTTAGAAATTAGGATATCCGCAGTAGAACCAGAGTGACCGACATAGCCCAACGGATTAGTAAGCTGAAGTGGCAATGGGCCGGCTATATAGCTCTAAGAACCGACAACCGTTGGGGAAAAAAGGTTCTCGAGTGGCGGCCTCGTACCGGCGGACGAAGTGTAGGGCGTCCCCCCACTAGATGGAGTGACGACCTGGTAAGATATGCAGGAAGTCGATGGATGCAGGTGGCTCAGGACCGTGCTTTGTGGCATTTCGTGGGGGAGGCCTATGTTCAGCAGTCGACTTGTGAAGGGCTGTAATGATGATGATGATGATACACAATAATATTGGCGAAGAGTTTCATCTTATTTTTTTATTATATAATTTACAAGTGGCCAATTCTAAAAACTTTCATTGTCGCCCTCGTATGTCGTGTCAAAGCACGTTTGTTAGGATAGATCTATTGGGTAGATCCTTGGAACGAAAGAAAAGGGGCCGCATTGATGCAACTTCACCCACGTTTATATTAGTCCTCGCTAGGCCTCTGATTGTAAGCTGTTATTTTAAAAAAAGTCCCACTGGGTTTCTGCTGGTTCTTCCCAGGGCAGAGGTTTTTTTTTAGAAATTTTCGTAATTAAACAAAAGAGTGACTTTCAATAAGTATTATTTACAATCTATATTGAATAAAAAAGTTTCTGTTTCTGTATAATTATGACGTGACGTGACTCGTGTATTCTGTATAATACGCGAGTCAAAGAGAATATAACCACTACGTTTAACACGAGTCACGAACTCATCCGAACGACGCACGATAATCCACGAACACTGAGTTTCGGCGCCACCGAAGGTTCGGCAGATTTTTTTGCCGAAACCGAAACTAGATTTTTTTGCCGAACCCGAAACCGAAACCGAACCTTCGGTCGGTCACTATAAAAATTACATATTCCTATCACAATATTTTGTGGCACGGACACGGGGTTTTATAAAATGACCATTGAATTGGTGAAAATTTGCTGGTTTTTGGACTCAGTTTGCTAAGTGTTAAAATTAATTACCTTTTAGTAATAATACTCGTAAAAGCTAAATCCTAACATTGAAGTGATTAAAATATCTACTTTTATATTCTGAAACATTATAAATAATAAGGTGGTTTGTCCGTGTCGTATAGCGGTGTAAGTAATCTGAAGCAATAATGGTAAATATCTCAGACCTCGAAGAGATAATACTGCCATCTATCGGGAGCCATAAGATCTTTTTAGCTTATTCCATTGGAGACTTACCGTATTCTATAAAAAAAAATCTTCGAGAATTCCCTCATTGCTTGGTGGTTCTTACAGCTATATATCCGGCCTTTTGTCACTTCAGCTTCCTATCCCTTGGCTATCTCAATTAGTTTGATTCTACTGCGAATATTTTCTTTACGATCTTATAATAAGCAATTTAATGCGCTAAATTTTTTATAGTAACTACTGCGTGTAGTGGTGACGTAAGAGAATTTAAGTACTACCCCACATCTTCCCGTGCGTTTCTGAAGAGGCGACAGTGGAAATTTACACAGGAGATAGGCAGCAACATCTTCCTGATAGCAAATTAAATAATAAAATGCTGCTTTACAACACGGCTGTCAAACGTGGCAACTATGGCCAATATCGCCCACGCGATGAGTCCTATGATTAGCAGTGCACTTGTGATAGATATTTGAAGAATGTATGAATAAATGAACGAACTAAGTCAAAATTATGCAACAGTCTTTACGGTTTTTAAAATATCGGATACTTCATACAATGAAAGATAAAACACGAAAATAGTTGTGTTATACTTTTTTTAAAGTTTAAAAAACTGAAAACAAATTAAACATTTGTACAATGTGTGCATGAGTGTACTGATATTAAAATGTATGTAGCACTTTAACAAAGGTTTTCACAAACTTCTGACTGGTAAAAGACTGTTTTTTAAAGCTAAGAGTCACTACATCTTGACAACATTTCAAAGCGAAAGACAAGTGTTCTGCTGTTATTCTATGATATATAATCTTCAAGAATCCTCTCTAAGACATGAATAACTCCGGTTCCTTTGCAGCAATATGTTTCAATCTCGGTATATGAAAGTCACCAATTAGCCACTATATCTTAAAAATTACATCTCAAACATAGACAATAGTAGTCTTTTCGAGTGGAGGCTACTAACATGAATTCAAGCTAGAATGAAGAGGTAAAAATTAAAGAATATTACGAAGTTGAATAAAGCTGCATGCAAAGCATACCTTTGCCAGTTAGGGTCATATAGATAAGATGTTGTCGATAGTGTCAATTAAACGTAGTGGTTATATTCTCTTTGGTGTCAATCGAAGAGCATATAATCACTACGTTTAGAGTTCGCATAAGACATTTAATAAACTGGCGTAAATTTATATTTGAAACGATGTTACAAGTGCTGCAATGGTAATATTAATCTTATGGATTGTAACCGCTTGAGATACAATTGGACTCTGAATTATGCTGTCGTACAAATTTATATTGTTAAGAATTTAATATTGAATATAATAAACGTACTAGGCTGTATGGTCTACGACTTTTGCCTACCTTAATTGGCAAATCCTAATCTATGGTTTGCCAACATCACAATCACAAGTCACAAGTCACAACAAAACATTCTTTTACTGTTGTCAGAAATGTCATAATAAGAATTATTACGTTAGTTTTTTGTTGATAATATATGATAATAATATGTTTAATTTTTAAATCTAATCTAAATCATGAACTACTATAATTAACATATTAAACATTTACGATGGACAATAGAGCGGCAAAACTAGCGGCTGCGCGGCAAAAGGTACTTAATATTTTGTCCAATATTTTTAGTTTACAGCAATTTATTACATGAATGGTATATAATTACAGCTAAAACACCATCAGGAAAAAAAGTTGATACGCACGGAAACGTCAAATATAGCTCATCACAACGAGTCCGTGAAAGAAACCACAGAAGAAAACGTTAGTCCAAACGTGGTCACAAGTGAAGCTAATGAAACAATATCTCTTGAAATAAAAAATGGTGGCACAAAAAATATTCCGGAAGTACCAAACAATGATTTAAGTGTAACTGAAATGTTAATTTCAAATAAGACAAAGCTTGAGGCACAAGTAAAGAAATTAGAAACACAACTAACACAGTTACAGCATAATTATACTTCAGCAATAGAACAACAAAATATTTATTTGCAAACTATTAGTCGTTTGGAGATGGAGCTTCAATCAATGCAGAAAAAATATGGTATATTTGATGAAGAATTTTTTTTAAAAAATAAAATGATTTCTGAATTACAGAATAAAAATTCTGCCTTAACTGATGAAAACAATAATTTACTTGAACAAATGGAATTTACTAAGACTATTTTAACAGTTAAAGAAAATGAGAATCTTCAGCTTAGTAATCAAATTTCTGTCCTTCAGAATCAACTAGATGCGGCTCACTTGCAAATTAGACAGTTAACAAATGATTCTGATATTAACATAAATCATAACAATGAAGAAAAACCATCAAATTCAGAACTTAATCACAAGATTTCAAATTTAGAACAACAATTATATGCACTCCAGAAAGAAAAAGACAACTTAAATCAACATTATGAACATTATGTTAATGAACTGAATATGGAATTAAAAGCATTAACTACAAAAAATGATGCATTAAATCAAGAAATACAACAGCTTTACAACAGGGAAAATAGTCTTGTTGATCAAATTAGTGATATGGAAATAAGGCTTCAGAGCTACCATGTAAATAAAAATACTGAAGAGGAAAAAAATGCTAATGAATTGCAAGAAAAATTGAAGACCATTGAAGTAAACATAATTGGTTTATATTATTTTTGGTCAATAATTAATCGGTACAACTTTCCATTGAGGTCTGTCGATTTTGGTGTTGATACGTATTTTTACAGAAAGATTACATTTTAATAAGCACACACAAAGTTTCAATATGTGGAGACACATACTTTTTGAGAAAAAAGTATTGAAAATCAAATATTTTTGCAATATTTATGTCAATTCCTACCGTAAAACTGACGCCATTTTTTATTATTATAAATATAGATATTTAGAAATCGATTTTTTGGGAATCGATACATCAGCTTACAATTCGAATCTATTTAAAAAATCGACCTTTTTCGGAAAGAATCGACATCCCTATTGACTTCGACAATGACATTACAAAGTGGCGCCAGTTTTACGGTAGGATTAGTCATAAACAATGCAAGAATAATTGAGTTTCAATATATTTTTTTCTCAAAAATTACATGTTTCCACATGTTGATACTGTGTGTGTGTTTAAAATAGTGTAACTTTTCTGTAAAAATACGTATCAACAGCCAACTCGACGGACGTCCGTGGAAAGCTAAGCCAATTAATCAATTATTTCAATAATTTCATATTGAATTTCAGACTAAATTTCAAGAATTAAGTAAAAGCTATGCAATCCTAGAGGCTAAATATGCAGAAAGCCAAACCAGGATTGAAGTATTAAGTAAGAGTAACAAGACTAATGTTGATCAGGACAACTTACAAGTTTCAAAACTCAATGCCGATATTACCAGTGACAAAGTTGCAGCCCAGAGGGCCACAGAACAGAATAAAAAATTGAAAACTGATTTGGAAGAACTGGAGTTTGCATTTATCAAAATGGTATGAACTTATTATTTATATTTATATATTTATTTTTTACATTTTTTCACAAAGTTATTATTATTTTAAATAAAAATTATTATACTGATTTAGTTTAATCAATGGTAAACAGAAAATATTTACTAGTGAGGATTTTAAGTCAGTAGAACGTAACTTGCATGTTTTTGCAAGATATGATAAAATTATTAATTGTGAGAAAATAACACTGAATTTTTTTTAATTAATTTTTCTATTCTGACGACCTGGTAAGACATGCAGGAAGTTGATGGATGCAGGTGGCTCAGGACCGTGCTTTGCGGCATTCCTTGGGGGAGGCCTATGTTCAGCAGTGGACTTGTGAAGGGCTGTAATGATGTTGATGATGATGATATGGGACTCTTCTATTGTTGTGAAGATTTGCCTTAATCAAAGAGCTTGGCATGTGGATTGGTGACTTACACCTTTGATGCTGCTTCATGATCCAAGATAACCGATCGGTGGTCTAGGTATTTTTCGCCTAGTGTGAATGGGATGGTTGTACTGCCATCTGTTGTAAACCTTAAGATTTTCTGGCTTAACTCATAGTCCTCTCTTATGTCATTTTATAATGGAATTGAGTCATGGACTTTCTTAGACTTTCTTGGCCCCCACCACATATTCTAATAGCAATTAGTTTTCCATTACTTTTTATTTTTAATATTTTTTTTACTTAACAAGCATTTAGTCAAATATTTTCTGTAGAAAACAGTACTATATAAGATATAATTTTTTCAATCAAAATCACCTTTTGTTTAAAATAATACAATAATATCACTTTAAATGTTAACAGACATCTCTTTGCTAAAATCAGTCTTGATTCGGTGGAACATTAGAAAAATATAAAATCGTTTTAATAAAAGAAATAAAATGGTGTTACTTATCATTTATATTTATTAGAAAATATTAAGGTACCATTCCGTAGCCGACTGCAGACAGCAACAGCAGACGACGTGTCGTCGCTGCGGTCATGATTCCGAACCCGACTGCAGGCGGCAGCAGCACGTGTTCCAACCTGTTCCAAATGTTCTGTGGGTACTCTATTTATGTAAACAAAATAGGTACTATATATATATATATATATATATATATATATATATATATATATAATACCTATTTACTGCTTTTATTTAACTCCTTTCCTATATTTATTCAAAAAATTCCTTTTGTCACACTGTTAAAATAATTATTGTGAGATGCATCGTACAGTGCGGGATATTGGACCACCTGGTTTATCAGTTTCTCTTCTACGGAATCGGTGAAACTTATTTTTGAGAAAAATTCAACGTGTCGCTCGGCTGTTGACGGCACTACTGATCTGCGGTCGGGCGACATGTCGTCTGCCGCTCCGGCAAACGACGTGTCGCTAGCTACGGAAGGTGTTTGATAGAACTACATAGAAACCAGTATTGTCGCGACGACACGTCGTCTGCTGCTGCTGTCTGCGGTCGGCTACGGAATGGTACCTTTACAGAAATATTAATACCTTATTACAAAATTAAATTTAGTCTTCTAGCTTTCTTTGCAGCAAACAACGGTAACGGTGGTAGGGCCACGCAGCATAACGGTGGTAGAGCCACGCAGCAGCTTTTGCTGTTGCACGTATGGGCCGGCTCGAGCCAGGTTAATACCACGACCTCACAGAATACCGGCGTGAAGTGGAAGCTCTGCTTCGGCGTTTCGTCCGGTGAGTGCAGGTGACCGGCCCAATTCCCCCCCCCCCCCCCATCAACATGGTAGCGGAAATAAATCTTAGACTACCCCAGGAGGGTACCAGCACCCCTGGAAAATCCCTCGCTGAGCATCCACGACCATGCTATTCCACTCCTGAGCGTGGGTGCTCAGGCTGCCCTGCGTATTCTGGGCGGGGGGGAGCACTCCTTTGTGCCTCGGGCTGGAGTTTGCGTATACGTCAAAGAGGACATCTGTTATCGACGCCTCTGCAGTCTTGAAGGTTCGGACCTGTCAATCCTTTGGCTACGCGTAGACAGCGACGACCTTCCGCGCGTCTACGGGTGCCTCTATAGGTCCCATAGCGGTAATGCCGAAACAGACCGACTCATCGACCACGTCCAAATGGCTACAGATTCCTTGCTACAACAGGTCCCATCCGCAGAGATCGTGATCCTTGGCGATTTTAACGCCCACCACGCCGAATGGATCGGTTCACGTTTAACCGATCATGCGGGGAGATCTGTTTATGACTTTGCCTTGTCATATGGTCTGACACAACTGGTGACATCGCCTACGCGGATCCCAGATGTTGAGGATCATACACCTCCCCTGTTGGACCTTCTGCTGACCTCTCATCCGGACGGATATCAGGTTTCCGTCGATGCCCCTCTTGGCTCTTCGGACCATTGTCTGATCCGGAGTGTGATGCCACTCACGCTCCCCTCGCGGTTGCGTTCTGCATGTTGCCGCCGTGTTTGGCATTACAGGTCGGCGGATTGGGACGGAATGCGGTCTTTCTTTGCTTCCTACCCATGGTGGCGGGTTTGCTTTTTGCCGGATGATCCCAGCGCTGTTGCGGACTCTGTCACTGATGTGGTGCTACAGGGAATGGAACTATTTATTCCATCATCTATGGTACCCATCGGAGGCAGATCTCAGCCTTGGTTTGGTCGCTCCTGTAAGACTGCATAACGCAGTAAGCAGGAGTGTTATCAAGCTTGGGCTGCGGCTTCGGCGACTCGGGATGTAAACACCAGCATACTTAAAAAGAAGTATAACTTCGCCTCCAGATCCTTCAAAAGAGTTATTGCCAGGGCAAAGTCAGAGCGCATAGGCAGAATTGGCGAGAAACTAGTTCGCCTTCCTTCGGGAACCCGTGCATTCTGGTCTCTCGCCATGGCTGTCCAAGGGAATTTCTGTAAGCCATCACTACCATCTCTGCACAGGGAGGACGACTCACTGGCCCACGCCGCAAAAGAGAAAGCCGACCTTTTAGGCTCCCTTTTTGCGTCCAACTCGACTGTTGATGACGGGGGGAACACACCGCCGACCATCCCGCGGTGTGTATGCTCTATGCCGGATGTGCGGTTCTCACAGCGTTCGGTTCGCAGAGCACTGCTCTCCCTGGACATCCACAAGTCGAGTGGGCCTGACGGAATCCCCACAATTGTGCTGAGGACGTGTGCTCCGGAGTTGGCACCGTTTCTAACGCGTCTTTTCCGGTACTCCTACTCCCTAGGCGTAGTCCCGAAATCACGGAAGACAGCTTTTGTCCACCCGATCCCTAAAAAAGGCGATCGCTCAGACCCGTCCAACTACAGGCCTATCGCCATCACCCCCTTGTTCTCCAAAATAATGGAATCTGTTATAAACTGCCACGTCATGCGGTACCTTGAGGATCACCAGCTGATTAGTGACCGCCAATACGGTTTTCGTCGGGGTCGATCAGCTGGTGATCTTCTGGTCTACTTAACTCATAGATGGGCGGAGGCAGTAGAGTGCAAGGGGGAGGCATTGGCCGTTAGTTTGTACATTGCAAAGGCCTTCGATCGGGTTTGGCACAAAGCGCTTCTTTCGAAGCTCTCTTCCTATGGCCTTCCCGAGAGATTGTGCAATTGGATCACCAGCTTTCTTTCAGATCGGAGCATCAAGGTCGTTATAGATGGTGCATGTTCCGACTACACGCCTATTAACGCTGGTGTTCCACAAGGCTGCGTGCTATCACCAACGCTGTTTCTTCTATATATCAATGATATGTTGCAAACCGGTAGCATTCATTGCTATGCGGATGACAGCACTGGTGATGCTCTATACACCGGCCGTGCCAACATTTCTCGGGAAAACGTCACCGAGTACCGGAACAAACTTGTGTCTGAAGTCGAGTCTTTGCTGAACAGTCTCTGATTGGGGGCGACTAAATCTAGTCCAGTTTAATCCTCAGAAGACACAAGTTTGTGCGTTTACCGCTAAAAAGAACCCCTTTGTCGTATCTCCTCAGTTTCAAGGTACTCCTCTTGTTGCATCAGCCAGTATCGGAATCCTCGGCGTTGACATATCGAGTGACGTGCAGTTTCGTGGTCACTTGGACGAGAAGGCCAAATTGGCCTCTAAAAAGCTTGGCGTGCTCAGCAGAGCGAGACAGTATTTCATGCCGGTATATCGCTTGCAACTTTACAAAGCGCAAGTTCGGCCTCACATGGAATACTGTTCTCATTTCTGGGCCGGGGCACCCCAGTGCCAGCTCCTTCCACTTGACCGCATCCAGCGCAGAGCGACTCGAATCGTCGACGACCGAGTCCTTTCCGATCGGCTCGACTCATTAGCGCTGCGAAGAGATGTTGCATCTCTTTGCATTTTCTTTCGCATTTACCACGGGAGTGCTCTGAGGAATTCTTCGGACTAATTCCAGCCGCTCAATTTCACCATGGCACATTGCGACAAAACTCGCGTTACCATCCATACCATCTGGATGATTGGCGGTCCACCACTGCGATTTAGAAGAAGTTTTCTCCCTCGCACAACTTCCTTGTGGAATAGTTTACCACCAGCGATTTTTTCCGGACCGATACGACTTAGGGATCTTCAAGAAAAGAGACTACTCCTTTTTAAAAGGCCGGCAACGCATCTGCAATTCCCCTGGTGTTGCGATTGTTCATGGGCGGCGGTATTCACTTACCATCAGGTAAGCCGCATGCTCGTTTTCCTCCTCCTATATATATATATATAAAAACAAATCAATTACCTCCTTGGTGTCGATGTCAATTCTGCTGTGGATTGACATTAACGCCCAACCATTTAGTCTTTACTGGCCTGTGGAGTTTCTCAAACAAGTTTTGAGCCATTTCAGAGAAGATAAAGTCCTCTCAGGAGTACATGTAGAAACAGGCAGTGTCGCCAAGATCTTTAAAAGTTTGTGAATGTTTGAAAATAAGGCCTGGTTGCATTCTCCGAGAGCTTCAATAGCACATGTTGGTCGATCTATTTCAGATTCTTCCACCCATTATATCCACCACATGTCTAATTTAGCTTTT